CAAACACACACACACACACACACACACACACACACACACACACACAGACAACCTCTTTACAATATGCGTTTTTGCATTGCACGAATGAAAAAAACGCATTAAAAACGAGAAGGTCATAGAAAAACTGGCCATCCCATTACTGACCGAAGCCCAAACCTTCAGCATGAGAGCGGTGCTACTTGCCACTGACTATGTGCATGGATTTCAAAGCAGTAATTTGTAATACCCGCTACTGCTTTGCCTTGAAAAAAGTACAACAGGTGAGTTATTTTTGGGTTGGAAGAAAGGCTCCATAGCTTCTTGTATTCGCACGAATTCTTTCTTGAATTTGTTGAATTGCTTTGTTGCTGTTGCAAAATTGCCGGAGAGCTCGTCCACCGAACAACTGCGATCGATGAGTGTTGCCAGCAGACGAACAGCATCTGTGGGCAGATCCGTTACGATCACTTCGATCACAGTCTGTGGCGTCATCACAGCAATTGCTTTTTGTAAACACGAACGAATATGCGCCTAAAAATGCTGACTTTTAGGCCTGTCTTGAAAATAAACGGCATTGTTTCGCTGCTACCAATGATTACTTTTTAATGGAAACAGCAGCTGGCACCAAATTTGGTATACGAATTGCCGATACCATAAGGAGTCCAGTTATGCCAGATTTGCCGCACCAGTGACCTCGAACATTACGGTATTCTACGCGGATTACGGTATTCTTGTTGCTTTTCTGTTTCTCTAGTTACAGAAGTAATCGCTGTGATATGGATCCGCATAAAATAAAATATTGCTACGGATTTAGAGATATCACTTTTGTTCTAATCTTTTTACATTATCAAAATTCCCCTTTTTCTTTTTGACACTTTGCATGTTATTTTTGCTGCAACCGCCACACTGACGAGGTCAAGTTGTAGCACTGAACAGGAATGTATGCGACTTAATGGACCGAAACATTCTTATTCGGGTTTTTTAATCCGATTTATCTTATTCACCTTCCTTTTATTCCTTTCTTTTTAACCCTTACTTTTT